ACATAACGTATGCAGGGATAAATGGACCTTTTTTATCCCATCATAAATGTAATCAAATTGATTTTAAACATCTCTGCACCTTAACTAATTTACTAACTTGCCATTGAGTAATTCTCCTAAAAGCTAGTTATTGTTTTCAGCCCTGTATCATTTTATTATTTTAAGACAGACAGTGAGAAAAGGAGATACTGGCAATTTTCTCTAAATGTCATGAAACGTATTTCTGGAATAGACATTGTTGATTTAAATGCTAAAAAATGACTTTTCAGTGCTAACAGTCATCTCTGAATTTCCGCCTCCTCCGTCTGTGTTAATTCCTTCATGGTTTGTTCTTATCATTTCTCAAGTTGAAGGAAAAAAGCTCTGCTGATATTTGGAGATAAGTTCACAAACAAACTTTGGGAATTGTATTTGTAGCTCTTCCTGGAATCAAGCGCCTTTCGCACTTCTGAAACCTGAATGCACAATCAAACGTGGAGGTATTGGTGTGCTCCGTACCCGGGACTCCTGCGGCCAGCGCCAGCGCCCCTTAGGTTGGGCAAACTGTTGTCCATATCGGGTTTAAAACCCAGGTTGTGGCTTCTCCCAGGGCTGCAGACTGCTCTGTGGAGGGATACACTTTGTTGCCCTAAAAGAAAGGAAATGCTTGTGCAGGAAATGCTGTCCCAGATAAAGCTCCCCTTTAGGCTTTGTCCCTGAATTTTACTACTTAAAATGAGAGGCATATCTGAGCACTCAAATTTTGCTGTTTAACTACAATTTGGTGTACACTGAATACATTTATCTGAAAGCTCTGTTTTAGTCCATTTTCTCCAGAACTTCATCCCACACACAGCTTAATGCTTATGAGGAGATGCCTTTTCACAGGCACAAAACCATGTTGTCTGCCAGTGTTCAACGCTAAATCCCAGTACAGGTTGCAAATCAAAATGGAAAGAGCAGCGTTAACTTTTTTTTTCTTTTTGATGCATTGCCAATAAGGGTTCTGCATCAGCATTTCATGGTCCAACATTTTCAACATTTTTTTTTCTTTTTTCCTCCCCCTATGTGTGAAATTTCAGCAGATTGTTATGCAAAACAGTTTTGTGTCTCAGTGTGACTGGGGAGACAGCTGTTCGGCCTAATGAGGAGTGCTAGCACTACAGGATTTCTGTTGATTGAGACCCTCGGAGGGAGCAGGATGGTGGAGGCCAGGCAGCGGTGTGCGGTGAGGAAGTGCCACGCTGTCAGCTGGAGGTACACGCTCGGCTGCTCCCCATGACAAGATAAATGAGTTTTGCTGGGGTTTGGCGAAGGCTGAAGCTTTTCTGGAGAATAGTTGTAGCACACCAAACTCCCTGTGGGACCCGCGGTTTGAAGTGTCATAAGACTGCTTCCTCTCTGCCATTTTTTTTTCTAATGTCCTACAATACCTGTCATCTTCCTGAGTTATTAAAAACCTAATGTCTTCTAGCATTCCATTAACACGGGGTCTGATGATCTTTTGTTGACGCTTTTTATTAATTTAGCCAAGGGGATGTTAACTGCAGTTTTAACTGGGTTAGAACAAACTGTAGACTAGTATAAACAGAAAGTAAAACTAGCCGCATGAAAATACAGGAAAAAGTCTTTTAATTTTTGTGATATGGGTGGGGTTAGGGAGGCAATACTTCTGAAAGGCTATCTGTATATTGGCTGCTCTGCCAACTTCTTTCTTCCCACCCAGATTTTGCTTCCTTTTCTTCTCACCTTCCCCTTTTGGTTGGGCTGAAATCCTGTTTTAGTTCATAAGTAGGAAGTGGCCTTTCTTGTTGCTATTTTGTCTTAAGTAAAAAAAACCAAAAACCAAGGTGAGATGCATCTGTCTCACCTTAAGAGATGCCCCAGTTTGGAATAGCAGAGGAGACAAAGCATGATCTGTAGTGCATCGGAAAACCGATGAGCACGGAGCTTGCTCGTGTTTCATTAAGTCAGTAGTGTTGTCCATGTTCTTGAATTTAAATGTATGTGTGTTTTTTGTAAATATTAACTCAATATGTTCCACTTGAAAAAAAAAAAAAACCCAAACAAACCAAACAACCCCCCAAAAACCCCATCTAGTCTTTACTCAAATAACAGTCAAGGGCTGATAACCCTCCACAGAGTTGTCAAGTTTGTGAGGATGATACTGCTTTTGGCCTTTCTAGACTTGGTATAACTCCTAGTCTTGCAATCTTATCTTGAAAATGAGATATCTTCGAGAATTGAATCAAGTGTATCTATAGGTCCCCCTAGAAGAGTAATGTTTCATTTTTTCAAAGTGTAATATCTAGGACTGTTATGCAGTACTTCCATACATTCCAAAGTTTGCTTTGAAACTGTGACCAAAATTCTCAACCTTAAACAGTGGGTTCATGAAAAAGTGCTTCTATATCTAGCCTTTGAATTCAGAGCTCCTTATGAAAAAGGCCAGTTTTGTAGTCATGTGTACTTAGCAATAGCGCAGATCCCAGCCTGCGGTGCCTTACAGGGATGAACCTGGGAGGGCAGGCAGCGGACAAGACCACGAACACCTTTACAGATGTCACTGAAAATGGCCTGGCAGCCTTCCCTTTGCCTTTCTATCACTTGCCCAGTTGTCGGAGAGAGCTACAGCAGAACTTAATTGCATTTTTATTTTCCAAACTTTTTCTTAGTGTACCCAGTAATATCTGCACAAATAGTTAAATTGAAAACAGTACAGAAAAGGATTTTGTTTTCTTTTGAGAGTCTTGTTGTTTTTACAGGAGCGGTAAAGGTCGAACTAACCTAGAGTTGGCATTCTGCTTGCATGGTGACGGTTTTGAATATTTTCATTTGAAAAACGATAAATCTAATAATGAGAGAACTTTATGTGGTCAAAGAAACTTAACTGTGTTTGACAGTGATAAGTGATAAAGGAGAATCAATATGAGATCAAAGAAGCTGGAAAGCTGTTTAAAGCTGTGAAAAAAAAGCATCGAAAATCGGAGGGTTATTTTAAGACACGTTCCGCAACATATTCCAACTGTAATTGGAATAAAATGTATAATGGGAAAACAGATCAGATTTGTGTGTTGGCAGCAGAATGCTAAAATGCTGTGTATTCTCACCTGGAGCCTTTCTATGACTTGGATTCCTTACACTGTTGTGTACAAGGAAGTGTCCCAATGTGTGTGCAAAGTATGGAGATTTAATAGTAAATTCTAAACTTACAAACGTTGTTTCAAATGTCTTACAGCAGTATAGAGTTCAGTGAAAGTCTGAAACATTTTACTGAGGTATTTTGCAGCTTGTATGAAGAACTAGTGAGGAGAGAAATGCAGACATTGGTAAGTTGAATGGAGGTCAGGCTGGTGGAAGACAAGTTCAGTGCTAAGAACGTACCAACCCTATTCTGCAGGAACTTGACTATGTGAATGAGTTTTCTTCCCAAATGCGAAGGTGCCTGATGAAAGAGGCTCATCAGTTGTAGCCTTCATATATGTTTTAACTTTTTGACTTTTGGTTCATAAAGTCCAGAAGATTAGGCGAAGACCTCTTGGTTCTTACTGTAATCATCTCCCTGGTAGCTTAGCTACACTCTAATGATGCATTAGGAAACTTGGTATCATGAATAAAGTGGGCCTTCATCCTAATTAAAACTTAATTTGGTGTCAATTTAAATTAAGAGGCTTGCATAAACTGGTCCATTGTGACCTGGCTACTGCTAATCTCAATCAGCAGCTTGGATAGGACATGAATTCAAATTTCTGCAGAACAACGAAAGCGACAGTAACAACTGACAACTTAAATTAAAATTACTAAATTCTAAGAAATTGATGTGCATGACCCAAGTTACAAGATAGGTCATTAAATCAAATCTGTAGAAACAGAGTTGGGAAGCCTTCCCTAATGATTTTACGGAGAGACAAAAATGCTTTGTTAGTACATTGTGTGGGCAGAAAATAACTGGTTTTGAGTTGGGAATTCATGCAGTACTAAAATGAAAATAATAGTACTAAAACTTTAATTGGTTAATGTGAAATAATAGGTAAAAGATTTAAAAAAAAATCAGCTCATCATCGTGAGAACTATTCATTTGAGCTTAGCAGTAATCTGTTCTCTGAAAGTATAAAATACAAAGATAATAAAATTCTAAAATAAAATTCGTTATATATATAATTTCTTCTGAAAGTAAAATGTTGCACTTCCAATTGTTAGAAATGTTATTGGGAGTCTTTCTCTGGCTTCCCTTCTGCATTTATAGATGTCCTAGGTAAAATATGAACTGTCTGGTCATGCTGCTTACTACTACTACTTGCCATTTTTTTTTTTTATCTGATTCTCAGACTTTAGCTACTTGCAAAATAGAAATAGAAATCACAATTAGAAGTTATTAGATTGCTATAGCTATTGCTGGTGGAGTTATACTGGAAGCTCTGTGTGTGTATTGCAGCATGGTTCGGTGTGTGTACAAAATCGCTTTAGCTACATTGCAGAGAGGTATTTTGGATCTCCTGAGTGTCTGTGCTGTGAACAACAAAAGACCAAGATAGCTCTGCAGAAGTCTTTGGATGGAAAGTGGAAGAACTTGACTGCTTGTCTCAAAAAAAGTACTTGAGAGGAGGAATTGTACTGTGTGCTACTGATTCAGTTCTGGTTGTCTGATAAGCCTACTGGACATCAATACAAAACTTCAAAAGTGAATCGACTGGACATGTTTAGCTCATATTAGGATCAGTGGAATATGAGAGATGCCTCCAGAGTGACTCTCCTCTGTTGGGCTTCTTTTCTTAGCACTTGGCCCAGTCAAGCCCTGTATACCTTAACTAACACAGCTTCTTGTTAGAATATTTTTTTTATTCTACACTACCCACTTGGAGTTTTTAATATTTCAGGTTACTTTGATTTAAAAAAAAAAAAAAAGTAAGTTACATATTTTAAAGAAAACACATGAACAGAAAATAGAACTTTAAATCAGGTGTTAGTTTAATAAAGAGCTTGAGAGCTTGATGTCTTTCTTTTTACTCCTGATTGTTTAGCACTGTGACATCTGCAGTTTTCACTGTGGGCGACAACGTTGTTTCTGGTAGTGATGACCGTACTGTAAAAGTTTGGGATTTGAAAAACATGAGGTCTCCTATTGCAACGATCCGTACAGATTCTGCAGTCAACAGGTAAGCAGATCTCTGAGTTACTGTTTTTCTTAATTCACATTTTCTTAATCCTTAATTTCTTTCACGTGTGGGAATGGTTGAACACTGCATCAGGGGAGGCTTAGACTGGACATTAAGAAGCATTTCTTTACCGAGAGGGTGGTCAGACACTGGAACAGGCTTCCTAGAGAGGTGGTCGATGCCCCAAGCCTGTTAGTGTTTAAGAGGCATTTGGGCAATGCCCTTAATACCAGACCTTACCTTTTGGTCAGCCCTGAAGGGGTCAGGCAGATGGGCTAGGTGATCGTTGTAGGTCCCTTCCAACTGAAATAGTCTGTTCTGTTAATTCACTGCATATACATTTAATTTTAGTCACTCACATTAAAGTTGAGATTTATGAGATTTTGAGAAAGGTCTGAAGTGGTTTTGTGAAATGCAGGTGTAGTCAACGTTAATTTTCAGTAAATACATAGTATTGCTTTTCTGAGATTTTTTTTTTTTCCCCCCCTGTATGGGATGCAGGTGTTAAGGCTGTTTAAGCATCTAGTACAGTGTAGAAAACTCCTTAATGGTTTAATATGTTTTTCTTTTTTCACTTGTGAATTCTAGTCAGGAAAAATTCAGCTGTATCACTTCTCGTGAGCTTAAACCTGTACTGTCAAGTTCTATTTGCCAGGCTCACTGTTTTGTACATAACCTACTTTTGTCTCTTCTGTGCAGGATTAACGTATGTGTTGGCCAAAGAATCATCGCCCTTCCACATGACAACCGACAGGTTCGATTATTTGACATGTCAGGAGTGCGATTAGCACGCCTCCCTCGCAGTAATAGACAGGTAACTGAATATTTATAGCCTTAAACTATGTCTGTTCTTCTTCCATACAAGGTTAAAACTAGGATTTGGTCTCTCTAGTTTAAAAGCTGAACAAATGCTGGAAGACACTTGTCTATACAAATATGCTGTTGTTAGTTATTGAAAATGACCAACGTGCAAATAGGTAAAACATTTTGAGCTTTTTTATTGGAATTGGAAATGATGTTTCGACTGGATTTCATCATAATTTTTTCTCCTTACTGAAGTGAAACTAATATCTGCCTTCTCTATGAAATGGAAAAAAATGTGTAAGAGCATTTCAGATGTGTTTTAATGTCTTGATGCGAATTGTGTCAGAAAAGCGACTCACTGTGAGTTTTAATGTTTTGTTTAGGGTTTGGTTTTTTTTTTTTTTTTTTTTCAATTACACAGTGTTTAGTTTGTTATATAAGAAACATAAAAGGAAAAAAGTAGGGATCAGTTTTGTGAGCTCACCTTGTATGATTAGTCATAAATTTTATTTTTTCCTTCTGTGCTTATGCACATAAATTCTTGATATTTGGTACCAAGTACTAAACCATCCTTGCTGCAGCCATCAAGTTTTGTGCATTTGTGGTGCCATTTGGCATGGCAAGCATCACTAATGGTGCAAATTAGACTAAGTGAAATTAATTGGATTATGCCACTTCAGTAAGCTTTTTGGGCGGATTCAGCAGCTCTTGACAGAATTTAGGAAGGGGTTTTAAGACTTATTTAGTCTTTTTTTTAGTATTTGTCTAATTTAGGGGGTTTTTTTAGTCTATTGTTTAGTCTTGATTTTTTTTTTTTTTTCCTTTTTTCTTTTTTTTCTCTTTACTATTTCCATTCAGGCTGACACTACTGAAATCATGGCAAATTTTTTTTTTAACTAAAATGTTGGTCAGAATCCTCCTTGAGGCATTTTTATTACTATTGGACTTGGACAATAAATAAGGCATTGCTTTTCCTAAGGATGACGTTCCTCCTGCTGTAGTAGTATCCTTTCTGAATTATGAATGTGATGGACACTTAATCTTGCAGGTTTATAGCAAAGTAGTTGCCAGCAAGTGGTTCCACATTTTCAGATTGCTTTTATAAATAAAAATGCTAAAATCGGAACTCTGTTTGCTTTTGTAAATAAAATGTAATTAGATAGCAAACAGACCCTTGGAAAACTCAGAAGTTTTGATGCACTTGTTTTTATGCTTCTGCCATTAAGGATCCGGTGCTGGTTATAAAGATTTTTGCCTTGCAGATGAAAGTAGCAATGACCCTTTTTGAACGAAAAGTGGAAACAATGAAAGTACTGTTTGTAAAAACTAATGTGAGTGATAGCAAGCTTGCATTTTGACTCACACTAGCTTGTTGACACAGAAGCTTTCAAAATCTGCCATCAGTAATACTGCTATGTCCTGAACTGTCGCAGGGCCACAGAAGAATGGTGTGCTGCTCAGCCTGGAGTGAGGACCATCCAATCTGTAACCTCTTCACGTGCGGATTTGATCGTCAGGCTATCGGTTGGAACATCAACATCCCTGCTTTGTTACAAGAAAAATGAAATGCTGGAAGAATTTTTGCGTTTTAAGTTGCCATGGACTTCTACACTTTCGCAGACTTTTCTGAACACTGGTCTGCTGTTGCTGTAAAAGCTCTTCCTTAAGTGGAGACTTTAGCAAATGTTGTTCTTGTTACCACATTGTGCACAGTTTGCATGAATTGTACAGAAAATGTGATTTTTTTAAAATTAGTTTGTCTTGTGTATGAACTTTTATATTTTGGCATCCACTGGTCAATATGTTCACTGTTGCATAGAGCGCATAAATGTTCATAAGTTATTTAGCATTTAATAGATACACAGTAGGGCATTACATTTGTGACATAAATGTGAAACTTAGGTAATTAATGTAGAAAGTGTATAGCAGTCTGTTACGTTTTTCCATGACCCTACATATCTGCCTTGTGTTAAGAAGAATCTGCAGGGCTAAAACTTTGAAATGAAGTGTGAATTTCACTAGTTGTATGATTGTAAACAGTCTCCTGTTTGCATCTGATTTGGAATACTTTTTTTAGTGCTGCAGTATAGTGCAACTTCAACTCCATTTTTATTCCAGTTACTGGAGAAATAGTAGATTTGAGAAGGAAAATGCAAGCAAGTTGTAGTGGGTATAGACTGCCAGGTTTATTTGGAATGCTTTTTGTACTTTTTCTTTCGGAAAAGAAAAATACTCATTCTGCCCTTCTTATATAAAGTGATCTAAAAATCTCATTAGCATTTCATACTAGCGAAAAATCCAGAATATTATGATTCTAATCACTGAAATCTAGTCAAGCAAATTTTGAAGCACTTTAGTTTATAGCTGTTGTTATAAACCATTTATGAAAGTTTGACTTTACCAGTGAATGTGAGCTGACCTTTGTAAGGAGGATTGCTTCTTTTTGGTGATCTGCCCAGAAAGGAAATAGTTTTTTTGGGGGTTGGTTTGGTTTTGGTTTTTTGTTCGGTTTTTTTGGTTTGGTTTTTTTTTTTTAATATATATATACCTACAGCGAGCATACTTTTAATTGTGTTCACTTCCCATATTTTTATTTTGAGCCAGCAATACAAAGTAAATGAGTACTACCTCAAAAATGAATGTTGGTCAAGATGCATTGAATCTCTCTGTAGCCTAGAAAAAAGCACTTTTGGTCTCTGGCTGAAGTACTGTCTCTGACATGAGAGGAAAGACAATCATACTAAAGGTGATCCTTAAGGTAATTAACACTTAAAGCTAATGGAGCAATACGATAAGTAAACATCATCTGTCACCTTTCTGTTCTCAGCCGTGGCAAGGGCTGCTGCAGCCCCTATTCTGTTCCAAAAGGGCGCAATCTCCCCTCTTTCTCCCAAATGATCTTACCCTGGTTTTGCTCCTCGCTGTGCTTAACCTTTATGGCACTGGCAGCGGGGTGTTCTACCACAGCTGCTGCTGATAGAAGTAAATGCAGGTGGCAGCTGACATCTTCGAAAGAACAAAAAGGCTGCTTCAGACAGACACTTCTTTTTAGCTGAAGGGAGATACTGCCCCGACCTGTCTGACAGCGTAAGGTGAAGGGTGAGGGTACGCCAGGGGTGCACTCTTACAATGGGATATTAGGAACTTTTTATCTCATGATTATGTGAAGCTATAGCTGTGCTCGTGTCCTCTAGAGCACTGTTTATCATGACATTAAGGCAGATCTCTTAACTGATTCTCCTGTTAACTAACATATAACGGCACTGGAGTGCAATGGGATGGGATGGTGAATGCATCGTTGCGTAATTATAGGGAAACTGGGGTCCTAGAAATGGTTCTGGAGTGTGACATTGAGGAAGCTCAAGGTGTTTAATGGAGAATGTATGTAGTGTCTTTATAGTACAGGTCACTGTAGCAGCTTGATACCTTTTTTTTCCTGGTTGTTCTTTTTTCTTTTTTTTTTTCTATTTAGATACAACATATGTACAGAATTGTACTGAAGTAATCTTAAAATATCAAAACTAGTGAGGTTGGAGAAAACAGCTGCAGAGTTGTAAGTCTTCTAATAACATGGGTTAAAGGACAGTGTCAAAGTTAATTTTCACTTTTTTTTTCCTGGGTTTTTAACTCGTTGGTAAAGCCATTTGATGTTGGGTTGCAGGTTTTAGTCTTTAAGAAAAGATGACTCACTTTTGCTTTTCGTTGGCAGCAGAGAGAACTTGACAGAGTTTGATGCTGCTTAAAAAAAAGAGAAAAACATCTTTCCAGCCAGCAGAAGCAGCTTCTCCAGCATGGCCTGCATGTAGTATCTCGAGCAGTGACCTGAGGTGGGGGGGAGGGTCACTGGTTTTGGTCCTGCTAAACTAAATTGCCTGTTTAAGCTTCTCTAATACATATGTCACACAGGACCACTAGACTCTATGCAGTTTAATCATCAGTGCTGCAAACTTTTTATATCACCAGAGGGACCATCCTCTGGCACCGGGAATGGGCTGATTACATGCTTTCACTTTGAAAAAAATCAACCGAACAAAGGTGCTAGAGCCACGTTCTTAGGAGCAGGCTAATATTTAATCAGCTGAACACTTAACTATCACTTAGCTTAATTTTATATACTGTACTGAAGGTGAGGCTGAGGCTGCCGCTCCCCTTGAAGGGAATCAGAGGTGAGCAGTGGTAGCGAATAATACTACAGTGACTAAATACGTGGAAAACATTTCAAGGCTTTGAACGTTCTGAAGAGTGTTTTTCAGCACTGAACAATGTCCAGCATTTCATAAAATGGAGGAGAGTTGCAATTTCAGTATTGTGCAGAATTTCACAGAGAACTCATCACTGGGCAAAATCAAGCTTTTCTGTCTTTTGCTCGAGCAATGCACATCAGTTTTCACAAAGTTTGTGTATCCTTTACAGTCAGAAAGATCTGGAACGAAACATCTTATTTGTTGCCTAAATCTGTGAAAACCACCTTTTTGGAAAAAGAATTTATAAGTTACATGGAACCACTTTTTCTTATTCTGCTAATTTGTTTTTAGATGTAAAATGGTTTTCTTCATTATGATTCAAAATGCATTAAAACATTCAACAATTCTTTTTTTGCAAGTTGCTGTTCTTCTGTGTTGCATTAAGGTTGCCATTAATTTTAGCATTTCACTTTGTTAGTAGTCAAAGGATCTTCCTAGCCACATTCCACTCTTTTTCTATTCAAAGTTTGTTTCCAAGGCAGCGATGGGCACAGTTCTTCTGGAAGAAGACCAAGCCGGTCCCTGAAAGTGGGACTTCTGTAGTGCAGTCGGTCATGCTGCCAGTAACATAGAAAAGATGCTCAGAGCTGCATTTGTACTGTCTTCTTTGCATGAAAAATTCTGTAATTACATTTTGTTACGCGCGTTATGCAGACGTCTCCATGTGACTTTTCACAGTGCTCTATAAATTGGTATTTTAAATGAAGTTTAAACCAAATTTTCTATGTTTAGAATTACAGCGAAAGTATTGTGGAAGTTCCCTGGTGGGGGAACCCCACCATCACTTTTCCTGTAGGTTAAAATAAGGGTTGTTTGCTTGTTGCACCCATAGTAGTCACAAGCTAAAGCTTTGCAATGTTGAAGTAAAACCCCCAAAAGCTCGGTGTCATACGCCATTGGGTTTTGGATGCCCGGGCAGCGTGCTGCCTCGCCAGTACCCGAGAGCAGAGCGTTGCTTTGCGCGTACTGTGTTTTCCTTCCCCTGTCGCCACATTTCCAATCCACAAGAGCCAGTGCTCTGGAAAACTATTACTGATCAGTGTCGCTGGTGATATGGATCAGAAATAAAAGACCAAAGTTACAAGGTGGCACAACCGATGTGAGGGCTGGATTGAGATGGAATGACAAACCCTAGTTTTTAGTTTATTTTAATTGAGGGATTTAAATCCAGTCAGGGCTTACTGCAACTGATTTAAACTTGTGATGCGTGTAACCTCCTTAAATCTTCTAACAACCTAAGTTACATGCCCTTTACAACGGCCATTTCTGTTCATATTTTGGGGGGAGAAAATTTGAAGATGAGTATGTGCTGAAGCTTAGATTTATTTTTTTTTTTTTTTGAAACCTGTAAGTAGCACGCACAAATAAGTGGTTTCAGTGGGATGTCTGTGTTCTAACCTGAAGAAGAGCTGCAGAACCACTTGGTCATGCATCACGGTGTGCTCTTCAGACTGGTGTAGAAATTTTATTTAATGCTCCATTGAGACCAAAATATGTCACTGAAAAATTACTCAGCCTTGTGATATTTTATTTTTAAGTAGTGGTGTTACCTTTTCTAATTCCCACAGGTCATAGTTTCCAGAACATAAGTAATTTGCAGGAGCTTACAGAGGAAATCCCATTTAATTCAGACTGTAAATCTTGGTCAAAACGCACCAGTGAGTGGAGAGGCGTCACGCTGGAGAAGTGCAGTTTTTGCAGATGTGCTGTGGATGCTGCTCACCAGTGTCCTCCAAGTGGGAACATCCATTGGTACCAGGACCTGCCGTTTCCCAGAGTGAAGAGGGGAGGCTGGTGAGCATTTGCAGTATCTAACCCAAGTGCCTGAATTAGCAGCTTAAGCTCCTTGTATAATTTTGGGGAGTTTCTGAAGGGTGGTTCAGTGCTCAGTGTAGAATTTAATCATTCAGACCTTCTGCTAAATGGAAATGGTGCAAAGTGTCTGTGATCACATGTACAGCGGAAGCAGAGCTAAAAAGTAGAAAAAAAGTTCTGGCTTGAACTATTTTTAAAAAGGGCAACTGGTTTTTTGCCTGGCTGGTGCCTGCTGTGCACTGGCATGGCAGTACTGCTAATGAACCATGTTGCCTGATGCTACCTGGGGCCCCGTTTCCCACTGCTGATAACTGCACGGTTGCACCTGCTTTCACCAGAACTTGCCGTACTTGGTATTTGCTTTAGAGTTTAATGCTAATTTTGTGTGGTTCCCCTCTCCCACTTGTATTTGTCATCTTTTGCCTTTCCCCAGGGTAGAACAAATTTAGTTATGTGTTTATTCCAGAGCACAACGCCAATGAGCAGAAACCCTTGCGTGCAGCTATGAAATGAGACCGTCTAGTAGTCCCATGCTGGGAACGGGGGCGTGATGTTTGGAGCTGACTTTGCTGTGAATGTGCATTTTGTCATTGTCATTTTTTTTGGTTTGTTTTAGTTGGTCAGATGCAGATATTTAATAACGAAGTCTCCTGAAGGCTTTATGCGTTGATGGTCTGGGGTTACTGAGGGCTGAATCAAGTCTCTGCACCTCAGCCGATGAGAGAAATGAGATTTGCAGTGATGCTGTAGGTGACTTGAGACATCAGAAAGGAGTAGAAAATGATTTCAAATGCTAGAAGAGTTATGGAGAAGGGGTCCAAACTAAGGGTAAGGAGACTGTGGTGAATGGTGATCCAGCGTTGGAGATCTGATCGGAGAAGGAATAAAGATTATATGAGAAAAACCTAGAGAAGCAAATTTGTGATGAGAGTGCTTGGACTGCAGATGAGGAACACAAAGGAAGAAAAATGAAGGGGAACGAAAAACTGGAATAAAAATGGGGCAGCTTAGGGAGCCAAGGTAGAACAAGAGCACGGAGTGGTTAGGAGGAGGTGCATGTCCAAAAGGTGAAACTTATTGGTCACCTGGGGATAAGCTGTGCTGGGAAGCCGGAGTCCAGCAGCTACCCCTGACTTGGTGAGGATACGGGAAAGGAGAGCTGGGAATAGGGCAGGGACAGCCCGTGGAGGGAGGAGCCCCAGGGACTGAGCTCACTGGGAAAGGCAAATAGGGCAGGGACAGCCCGTGGAGGGAGGAGCCACAGGGACTGAGCTCACTGGGAAAGGCGGATATCAGGATGTGCTTGCATCCAGAGCCTGGTGTGGAAACTGCTGGAAGTTCAACATCTCCTTTGCATTTTTTAAAGAATAGGCTGTTGGTTTCAATACCCTTGGTTTGAGGAAAAATTTGTTTGCTTATATAGACACAATTTTAATGATATATATTCAATTCTCTATTCAAGTGTTGTGATGGTGTGGAGATCACTCAAGTAGCTGATGCATTCACTCCTAGGATTTGTAATCTTAGTAGGGGATTACAAATGTTGCGTACAACCAAGCTCCATCCTATGAACTCCAGGTGTGACAGCAGGGCATCTGGCTTATTAGGAATCACTCCCGGACTGGAAATCTCTTGAGTGAACAATTAATTTGGAAGGAGGAGATGCTGTTTTACACGACCTCTTCAAGAATATGTGGGCAGCCTAGAAAGAAAGGTTCAGCATTTTAAGCTTGAGCATGACTTCAGAGCAAAATGCTCTGAATGCTTGCCTTAATTCTGTCTAATTCAATTTAGTCTGAATTGATTACGGAATCTCTTTAGCTAAGCCAAAATAGAGGCACCCGAATGTATAGATTACATCAGGGAGATGCTGCTGTGTTTTCAGTAAGGTCTTAGTTCTGGGAAAGGCGAAACTGGCCTTTCCTTCACATTTTCACTTTGTTGAGATGTCAAAAATTGACACCCTTCCTCACAAATCCAAGTAAGTAAAAAGATTATTTTTGGCTTCAGTGACCAAACTCCTGACTCCAGTTGGCCCCAGTGACTTCTGGTCAAAACACACACCTAAGA